ATATGCGGGATTGGCCGCGGGCAAACCTAGGGGTTGCAGCGAACATGTTTTAACATGTTTTAACCAGGTATATAGCCAATGAGACATAGTAGCTGCCAACTTGACTTAGTCGACTTAGTAAGCTGGGAATACCTGGGATATCTTTGGAGCCTCAAGAATCACCCGGCGCCCCGGCGCAGGTCAGCCAAGATGCCGCTCGATTTCCTATGAGGAAATCACCAGTCACAAGTCATGGTCCCAAAAGATCGCAGGCCAAGGAAATAGACAAGATGGTAAACTCATATAGAATAATTACAGTTGATAATTTCACCGCAATCTGATTTGAAGAGTTTCGAGGGGTAGCAGAATCTCCAAGAAAAAATCAAACAAGTCACCGGTAGTTGCAAAGTGTGGTCTTGCTGTCTTTCTTGATCTTTATTGCCGAACTCAACCCGCTTCTTGTTCATTCTTGTTCACAAGCTGTTGCCCTACCACTCTCCGAGGACCTAAACCCTATTACACCAAAGACCAAAATTGGGACACTCCCGCCATGCCTGAGAATTGGTAAAGATTCAAAGTGAATAACATGAGTACTATCAGATTACTATCATATGCTTGGGAACCTCTTACCCTCTGGTAATTTAACATAGCTATGGAAAGATCCACCATTTTTCATGGGAAAATCCACTATTTCGACTGGGCCATTTTCAATAGCAAACTGTTAGTTTACCAGAGGGTAGCTCCAACCCGCTTACCATGGCAGGGAATCCCTCCCTCCGGGAGTGCCTTCCTTGCTTTCTCCGTGTCCGCTGCATCCGCCTTTTTGGTGCATGGCTTCACCGGACAAAAAATCCACCGGGAAATCCCGGGAGAAAATCCACCGGGACCGATGAGGCCTGAAAAAAACAAGGCTGTGCCAAGTAAGTAGTGCCTTTCAACCCATCCCAAATGAATGGAAAACAAGAACATACAAGAACCATTTAAAACATGTTAAAACCACCAATTCTAGTGAAAGCCCATGAAAATCTATGAGCAATCCATGTAAAACGGATGAACATGAAACACCAAAAACAAACATCCCATTTGAGAGCGGGTCAAAATCTCCCATTCTTTCCAAATCAGCCTTCCCCGGACCGGCCTTAAACTTTGACAGTTCCAAGCGGAGCTCGGACATGTCAGCTGCAGCCAACGAGATGCATGGGTTTGGGGAGACAGGCGCTATATGAGTGTTTAAGAAAGTTTAAGTGTTATATTAAGTTATATATTAGTATATAATGGAATATGACCAACCAACCATTTAGGAATATGATGGCATATCTGGGTGGTATATGACACATGCGCAACAAACCCATGTTTCTTTGGAACGTGACAACATGTACAGTCAATTCAGCCGATCAAGCGTTCATCTGGCAGTTTGTATCTGACCGACTAACGCGTTTGTCCCCAAGAAAGGAAGTCTACTAGAGTCTACCACCAAGAATTTTATCTTACCAGCAAACACGAGAAGTGAACCCAACAACAATCAAGGATGTCATCAACAAAACATCAACCATGGGGATATTGGTGGTACGCATAAACCATGCAGTTGGTACAGATTCACAGACATTGCGCATCCTCTGCTAAACAGACATGGCATGACAACTTCAACATGAGGTCAGGTTTGCAACAGTAGGCTGAACTGAGCCTCAAAGAGGTCTCAACAGACAATAATCAGATAGCATGATGTGTAAAACAATCCTTTGTTGCTTCCGAACAGGGAGTGGTGGTTAAAAAAAAACACTTTTGAAAATCATCAACAGAAACCACCTGTGATACCTGAATAGATTGAATAGGCACGATGTATAAATTAGAGCTGCAGCAAAGGCTAAGGTGTGTAGATTTTGTGTACTTCCTTGCAGTGCTGCTTGCCATCTCCAGCCACACAACTTGTCACAGTTTTTTGGATCCAAAATGATCCACAAAACTGATGTTCATTCAATTCCCCCCGCCCCTCCAAGTGTCTCCAATACTCAATACTTCGAACATAATCCCTAATGCCAAAATGATCCAAAATCATCCAGTCAGTGATCCATGTAGCGTCCACAAAAAAAAAAAACAGTGCCAAATGATCATCCATTCCATAATCATTAATAGTAATAATGATAACAATCCATCATCATCATCAGCATCATCATCATCATCATCATCAATAATCATTAAATTAATAATCATTAATAATCATGACCATCATCAGCATCATCCATTCAACATCTTCCCATCACCGTTGCTTACTTCGCCTTCAAAGCGTCGCGAGTGCAGCCGCGCGATCTTGGCTTCGTGTTGCGAGGTCAACACCTCGGGGCCACGGGGATTCAACCAAACCCACCTCCGATACTCCGTGACGTCCACACGAAATGATGGGTAGAACTGATAGAACCAACAGAGACGGTGGTTTTTTACAATCAAACATGGAGATTCAATCATAGATACTAAATATATGGATACTAAGGTTTTTTTTGGTTGAACATATTAAACACCAACAACCACTGAAGAGGGCGAATCTAAAGAGGGTTGGTATGGTTTTGATGAGCAACCTCCGTCCCTTTGGGTGGTTTTGCCAAGAAAAATGAACATGAAAATGCATGAAAACAACCATTTTAGGGGTATATAATGGGATATATCGGATATAATTACTGAGGATGTATACCATTTTAGGGGTATATAATGGGATATATCGGATATACTGAGGATGTATCCTCGGATAAAATGAAGATATGACTCGATATGACCAACAATATGAGCCATGCGATTGTAGCTGAAAAGGGGGAACAATTCCCCGTAAAATGACCGTCCAAGTGGAATAGACCAGTTTTCAAGCAGACATAATATGTATTAATATGTCATAATGTAAATATGGGCACGTGCTGATTTCCTTTTGATCAAAAATACCGGTCCCAATTTGGTATAGCATAGAATTGGATTATGGGAAAATTTTAACCGGAAAGCCCTATATTTGATGGTAAAAACCCATGGGTTTCCGGTTAAAATTTTCCCGTGAAAACCAATCCAGTGAGTATAGCATTTGCCAACATGTCCATCATCATCCCCTGTTGGTTGGGGAGAACCATCTGCTGACGGCCTCGCGTCGCATCGCTTCAATTTGCAACGTGTCCTGTGGCAGTTCCATTGCGGATCCCCTCCCAAACACCTCCCTGGGAGCTCCCAAACTGAATTCTTTGATCTTCCTGAAAAATGAAAAATATGCATATATTAACATATTAATTAAGAATTCTTAGCAAATTATAAACATATACATCTGGTTTCATGATATAACATGATAGAACTATATCAAATGATATACACCTGTGATTTTCCATGACCGGGTTCGAGCGCCTCCAATCGCTTGGAGATCTCCGTCAAAGGCGTTTCGAGGCTGGGGACCACCTGGACGGTCTGGTATGGCATGCTTGGAATATATGGTATGTGTGATAGGTATGATAGGTATGGTATGTATGGTCAAAGTTCGTATGGTATGTGTGGCATGCGTGGTATGTATGGTATCATTGGAATGCATGGTAGGTACGGTATATGTTAAACAGGTGTAGTGTTGTGAGAGCACACAGGTAGTAAATAGGAAGTAGATGCGTAGCACATGTATATATGATATGACTATAGGTAGCACGTAGGTACTTTGAGGGAGTACAGTATGTGTGCTACGTAAGTCGTCTAAAAGGTAGCATGTACCTAGTAAATGCGAGGCTGGTAGTCAGAAATGCTGCAAAGACCTAGCAAATACGAAGCTGGACCTCAGAAATGCTGCCAATAGCTTGCAAATAGAAGGTGCTACCTGGAGACCCATACCATTGGTTGGGGGTAGGAACACGGAACACGAGACCATAATATATATATATATATACATATATATATATATATTTGTTGATTTATTTGAGAATATGTATTTATAATATATATATATATATGAGAAGTATGTTGCATTTAACATTCCATAAGCAGTTTGCTGCGGAAAATCATGACAAATGATTGAAAATGGGTGAAAATGGCACTCTTGTATAGATGACTTATATAAACAATGATGATTTTGCTATGGCCAGGTTTGATTACCGGAGGGTAGAGCATCTGGGAAAATGCATCAAAAATTACCCAGCTATCCCCAGGTATAAAGTATATGTTCCTCTCAAACATATTCGACATGGAACACGATCGACCAGGCGGACTGGTGGAGATGTTGAAAGAACCTATCGGTCCAAAATAGCCTTCAGTTACTTAACCTGGCAGGAAAATCAGCCATATTTAGGTGGATGCTTGTCATGATTATCCCAAATGTTCATGTAGTTTTCCTTTAAGAGTTAGGAATTTCCAGCTAGACATGCTACCAACGGGATCCAAACGCTACATCCTATCGCCAAGACTCGCAGCGCCTGGTCAGTCAGCATCTCCTTGATCTCACTGACCTTCTGATTTAACAGCTCCTCCGATGGTCCAAGCTTTGAGGATTCGAAGAGGGCTGGTCTCAGGGGCACCATTATCAATAACCTCCAATATAATATTAATACAATATACATACATTATTTACACATGTATATATATATATATATATTTATATATGAACATACTGTACATGATTTGTTCATGTATATACTGTAATATACGCATAATTATACTGTCATAAGCGTATAGAATATAATGATCCTTTTGGGAAACTCTGGTTGGAGAAAGGAAGTACTTAAAATGCACAGCCTCCCAGGCGGAACCAACAGCAACAAGAGGGGACAGCAACCCCAACTTATAGGTAGACATCAGCGTAATTCCGCCGAATGAGTTTATAGACATATAACATCATTATATAATATATTATCATGATGTTTATCACGATGATATTCAATGATATTCAGTCAAAAACTGCCGACCATGTCATGAGAGAACTTCCATGGCACCAAACATGTTTTTCGCCGAGGAGATGCGGTCAACAGGAGTTTCGAGGTACGCTGGGCCCACATTGTGGGCCCAGCGTACCACGGACATCATTCGAGCTTCCGCGAGGCAACGGCATCGGTTTCGCCGTCATCTTCGGTGCGGTGGTAGCCAAGGTAGCAGGCAGCAAGAAAGATAGCATTGCCAAGACCATCACCAGCAGCTCCTAGCCAGGTCAGCACCGGCAAAGGGCCCCAGGGACAGGCGTACACATCGAATGCGACGAATGGCAAAATGCCGAGTCCCCAGTACAGCCAGGTTCGTTTTCGGAAACGGCAGGAAAGCAGCAAGATGCCCTGTAAGGTAGCCTGGGCACCAAAGCATCCAACCAGGAGGCGTTCGCCGACAGTACCATTGAAGTACGTCAGATTGAAACATGTATCCATGACCAGAGAGGGCAGCAACATTGTGCCGAGGCCCATGCCGAAGAAGGTCCCGCCCATCACCCGCTGCAGATGCTGGGTGGATTGAAGAGGCTTTGAGTGCCTCGGCGCCATTGTTCCGCCAGAGTGGGCCTCGTTTCAAACAAGCTTGATCCAGATGAGTCTGTTGGATTGGATGCAGTTGGCCCATCAAACATCCAGAGTTTGAGCAAGATTTCATTGTCAGGTTTGGATACCCTATGGATCCCTATGGTAACCAAGCGTGACTTAATGGACATCCCGGTTTATACTGTAGATGGCTTTCCCATTACAGTAAAGCCTCCATTTCTTATTTCGGTTATTTTGAGACAATCCCATCTGGCTACTCGCAGGGAAGCGTTGAACGTCAAGCTGACACGGAATATGGACATTAGATGAAATTAGATGAAATTAGGGGAATATCTAATATGGGAATATCATTAGGGGAATTATTAATATCACTTTTTGCTGATACAAAATTAGGGGAATCTACCAAGGATCCCCAGTTTTTTGGACCATATTGTCACCAAGTAGATTACCAAAGACTCCAACCTTGGAAGAAAAGAGTAAATAAGGCTCCAACCTTTGGGAACCTGTGGGAAGCGTGGAAGACAATAATAACATCTCGAAGCCTTGAGAGAAAAACAAACCGGAAGATCCCAACCGGTTTGGATAAGAATCAGACAACTTGTGACAACTTCGAAAACCTGTCATTTTAACCAGAAAAGCATGTCGAAATCATCCATCCTCACTAACATTCCATTGTAGCCAAAACCAACACTTAGAACCATGTCCCATCTTTTTCCCAACATCTTTGGCCACCAAGCCATGTTTTCGTAATGTTCAAACCCCTATGTATCTCCATTGAATCCTGGTTAGGAACGGGATTCCCATGGATTCATCATTTTCCCCCAAGATATTCTTGGGTAAAACAATCCCCAAACTAATCATCAACCAACCATCATTCAGCAGCTATATTCATTATATCCAGATATATCCAGTATTTTTAAGATGGTTAAACACATGTTGAAAACCCCAAACTAATCATGCTTATATGCGGCCCTAAACATCCTATAAATCACCTATCTAGTCAAAAAGACATCAAAACTCTCTATAACCCTATAAATCATGGTGATATCAAGTAAGAAAACCTACAAAAGACCTCAAAAATCTATAGTCTAATCCTACAAATCATGGTTAATGAACGGTTCATGTCCCATTCAACAACCAATCCACTGGCTCTCCGGTCCTCGTTGGCGCCCTGCGCCACAGGTTTCCTGGCCGCCGCCGCTCCGGCCGCAGCATCTTTTGCCACGAGCTCGAGCTTGGCCTGGAGGGATGGCATGATGGGATGGGGGTCCTATGGTTCTAAATTATGGTATAATCCATAGGTAATTTGTGACATAGCTATTGAAAATGGCCCAGTCGAAATAGTGGATTTACCCATTGATAGCATGGTGGATCTTTCCATAGTTATGTAAACGTTTACCAGAGGGTAATCCATAGGAGAATCATATAATTAGATGGTTGTAAATCTATTATATATGGATTATACCCCATCATATGGTTCTAGAGATATATAATGTTATGGGAGTATAATTAGATAATTGGATTTATAACATTGTAAAACTGGTGTATAATCCATATAGAGAAATTAAAGAAGTGCAACTCCTGTTAACATGATTCGATCTATAACTCCTATTGGTACTAGATAATTAGATCTATATTACATCATTAATAATATGATCCATGATCATCCATTAATATAGATCCATGATCATCCATGATCCATGTTCTCTTAATATTAAGATATTTTGGTGGTTACATTCATGTCGTATGGATGATTAGAACACTAGTGATTACACTATGATCCAGAACTAGTGTATAATCCATTTTTGGAACATGTGAATCTTAATAATCTATGGTTGCATTCATATTGTTGATACTAAAAATCCATATAGAACATTAGTGTCAGAATATCTACATATGTATACACACATTTATATGTACAAATAGCGATAATATATATAGTAATATAAATCCACTATTAATAATATTATAAATATCTATAAATCCCTATGATGGTTCTATGAATGAATAGTGCAATATTCATAGTTCACTATAACATGATGGTTCTTATAATATATGGATGGATTAATGTTGTAGTTAAATATCATAAGTATTGGTTCTATATGGTTCTATGATGAAAAAAAACATTCACCATCACTCAACCAACCTATAGTTACAGGATATCGTACATACATATACAAACCAGATATGTTGGTAACAGATCTACTACTGATGGTTCATGCTGGTTCTAACTTCAAACAGAAAGCCAAACAGAGCCCTCCAATGGCACCACTTCAACCAATCCCTTGAGAAATGTGTTGGTTTTGAAGTACACCACCAGTTGTCCAGCCTCCAATCTTTGAATCGCTTCCAGTGGTTTGAGTTGCTCCATCATCGTGTCTTGGAACTTCGACACCTTTCACGGGATTGGTTGGGCATGAGGAGTATCGAACTCTGTTTAAGTGAAGCATACCACAATATGTGATCCGTTCATTTATCTTGTTGCTTCTCATATATGTTCGAAACTGAATCTCTCCTCTCCTCCCGCAAGATGTGTTGCAATTCCAACAATCACCCCTACCTCTTTGAGCATCTTCTGCGCAATGGTCAACATTTGGTAAAGTGGTACCTACATATTCCACGTGTAATATCCCCATCTTCTCATTTTCACCGATCAAACGTCCCATTTCGATTCAACACCACTTTTTTCGTGGCTTGAAACTTACTTGGTAAGCTATCCCAAAACCATCTTAAATATTCTTCAATCATATTGTGGTATATCAATCATCTTACAACCATTTTCAAATCTTTCAACAAAACCCATATCAGTCCTTGGTTTTCATCACTTCCATCATCAATCTTAGGTCCCCTGCAAAAAAAAAGTTAAATCTTTACTGGTTACTTAGTACAAGTTAAAAAGTACTTACTAAACTATCCATCACCAGTGAGTTTACCTCATTGTTTTTTTTTGGTGAATTCCCCTTTCGGAGGCTGAAATCCCATCCCCCCACCCAGCTATACGCTTCGGACCTTCTCCAGTATCCGTTGCTCCTGTGCTCGCAGCGACTCAGTCTGCAACTGCGAGAGCTCTGACATTCTGCGACTTTGCGCAGCAAACTGCAACTCCATGTCCTCCCGGCGATTTTTCTCAACCGTGCTGAACTTTGATCCAGGGATTGAACCCCAAATCCGCTGATGAGTTTTGTAGCCATGATGGGAGATCATTTCAGATTGGTGACTTATAAAACTACTGTAATTTGCCAAGATGACTGGGACAACCTGACATAACATAAAACATATACCCTGTTGGTTGGTTTAAGTTCGGGTATTTGTTGGCGAATACCTATTATTTGTCAGTAGAAATAGAAATCTCTATGACACGTTGTATATATATATATATACATATGTATGTATGAAACTAAAATTAGATATTTTATGTATATATATATATATATTATATATTATATATATATATTATATATATTATATATATATATTATATATCATTATGTATCATATTCGTTTGAATATTCATATTGCCAAATCGGACATGATGTGCCAAGACTGGAACAACAACATTGTTACAATGGCTTGGCCCCCCATCAACTCACATCACCGGTATTGGATTTACTTTTCTGGGGAATGATACATATATCATGTTGGTGAAGCTCAAGTCGTCCCTTTTTGGCCCATAGGGAATATGATGGAATATGGATACCTACTCAAACCCACAGGAGTCACCTGAACTCGGCCAATTCCTTGAAATTCTGAGTGGCCCGTGGCAAAGGCCATGGAGATGATCATGGGGACATCTTCAAGTCCAGACTTCCCGTGAAAAACTGGGCTACCCTCTGGTTATGACGAACACTTCGCCATGGTATAGATGGTCCATAGAAATAGATGGTTTACCTATTAAGAAATGGTGATTTTCCATGGTTACGTTAAATAACCAGATGGTAACATCTGACCACCAAAAAGTGATGTGGCTGTTTCCCGCCTCGCCGTTCTTGACCACTCGCGTCTCAAGGAGCTCCAGGTGCTCCTTGAAGGACAAGAAACGCTGCGACTCCTCGCCGAGAAGGCGGCATTTTGCCGGGGCGAAACCGGTGATTTTAAGCAGCCTGAAATGGATAAATGGGGGGTCCCAAGAATTCATGGGAAAATCATGGGAACATCATGGACAAAAACCCTAATAATTAGGTTTTAACCCAAAACTATGGGATTTGACCGCAGATTTTGTGGTATGTCTCTGGGATATAATGGGATACACAACATATCAACAACAATATGAAATTGTGATATATGTTGCATTGTCTCAAAAAATCTGAGATTTCCGATTGATGGCAAGCCATGGTGAGACAATAAATTGGCAAGCCGATTGCGATTTCGGGGTGGCAAGTTACGACACCCATACCATCTGTCATCAGCGACTTGTCGACCCACTGATTGTACAATCTGGCAGGACTTGCCCCTGATTCTGAATCAACCAGTAAGAAAAGAACTTCCGTCTTCTGATGGGGTTTAATGGGTTTAATATGGTTTAATCAGATAAATGCCTTTAAATTTGGGGTACCCTTATGTTTTGTGTCTGCATGTGTCTGCTTTAAAACAATCCAATTTGGTGTGTAACAGATTTCGAGCCATGCCCTAAGGAAAACTCACGGTGTTTGGCTCCTGCAGATGGGGCTTGTCTGGTCCAAAAAGGACAAATTGTCCAACGTCCCCAGGATCCAGATTAAGCTTTGTACATCAATGAATTGGTTGGACTTTTTACAGAAACATCTAGTTGAAATAACAGTAAACTCATGATAGATTAGGTTGCATGTGAATTAAAAATACCTGAATTATAGAAAGTCAACATGTATTCAACCCAAGATTTCCCTTCAAAATACTACAAAATGCTCCACCCCTTCTTTAAAAAAAAACAGAAAACCAGCAACCGACCCAGCGGTCGGTTAGACCGACCTCGTGTCTCCAAAGGTGCCAGGTTTCCTTCCCGGATTTTCCCACGGAACCGTGGGGAGTTTGACAGTTCTTGTCTTCTGGTGAATCATGGTTATACCCTGGTAAACATACAAAAAACTATGGAAAGATCCACCATTTTTAATGGGTAAATCCACTATAAGTGTGTTCATCAAAAATGAGAATCTAATTCGGATTTCTTTTTCAGGATTTGAGCTCGATTCATTGAACCAACAAACATGGTGATTTTCATGGGGGTTTAATATGGTTTCATGGGATATGATGTCTGAAAATCGTTCATCCTTCCTGGTGCCATTTTGACAGGGAACATTCGATGCAACAACTCTGCCTGGATGTTGGGGTACCGTTTACCTTTCAAACTAAGCCACTTCAGAATGGGCAAGAACATCCAATTAACCTATCCTCTGGTAATTTAACATAGCTATGGAAAATGGCCATTAATAGTGGATTTTCCCATTAAAAATGGTGATGTTCCATAGCTATGTTAGTTTACCAGAGGGTAACCTATCTTAATCATAAGTGTCACCGCCACAAAATACTGTTGGTTGGCACTAAGCATGGTCATTCAAATTCGAACAAACAAGGTCTTGAATGATCTGGAGTTTTATGAACCAAACTCTGCTTGTCACCCATCCACCCAATTTGATCAAATCAATCAAGAATCAATAAACTCTCCATCTTTGATGGAAACAACAAAACTTCAGAATGTTCAATGGCATAATATGAATTGATAGAGAAGATTATATCATTTTTATTCATTGTTCATCCCAAAATTCCTTTTTTATCACTCCCCATCGCTCCTTAAATCCTTCCCATCCCAGCCCGCCTTCAGCGTGCTCCACTCGTTGTGCATCATCTCCACGAAGATCTTCGAGGCCGCCACAGCAGTGTCGTTGGCCAGGCTCTTCAGATCGCTGCTGCGTTCCTTCCTGCGGAACAACGCGGGGGGGTGGAACTGGTGGAACCACCAGGGTTTCTTGGGGCGAAAAATCATGGGCCGGGAAAACCCGGAAAAAAACAACTGGAAACATGTGGAAACATCTCCTGTCTGCCATGGCGATGCTAGTATGTTGAAGATGCAATCCAATTCATCCAATGCAAATTTATGGCTGCCAGTCAAAGTTTGAGAATCAGCAGCTCGCCCCGAAGTTCTGAAACAATGATTATCAACCCATCATCACTGACCCATCCCTTTTTGGGTACCCTCCACAAGCTTCCACCGGAGTTCTCGTTGCTTCCCAGCCACTGCATCTTGTCCAGGAGTCGATTCATCAGCTCACAGGTGTTGCAAATGTTTCCGTGCAACCTGGATCGATTAAAAAAGCGACGCACAGATCATGACAGGGTCTATACCACGCAACATACATTAAGATACACCAAGTATTATTGATACATATTGATACTGTACCTATTTTTATCCTATTTTCTATTTTGTATGATATTTTGTAACTTAGTAACTTGCAGGACCCCAGTGGACCGCAACCCATAGTTTCAATCCTTTGGCACATCAAGTGGATCCAAATTCTTTGATTCTTGGGGTGGTTTACCCAACTCTTGGGAAGCAACGAGGCAAACCATTAATCATGAAACATATTTAGATGTCATGAAATGGCTACATAGGCTGACCATCACCATATGCACAATCAAGAAACCTCTCAAGCTCCTTTGCACTCAAGAGATCCAGGGTCCTTAGAAACCACGGGCGGAGTAACTCAAAATCATGCCGTTCACGTGGTCGGTGGTTTCAACCTTCCTCCAAACATCGGGTCACTGGCAGTCATCATCCCAGTTATAGGGGATGGACAACATCGATCCTGGGATCCCCCGCTGTTGCCTCAGCTGAGCATTTAAGCGAAAGAGCTCTTCAATGTGACTTCCTGGGGAGAGGTCTTTGGGACGTGGGAAATCCATGGGAAATCCTCTATAAATGGAGGGATCAATGGAACGATGCCTCTATGAATGGTGGAAAATGCATTAAACATGCATTAAATGGATAGCTGCTATAGCTCAGGGATGTTTTTTGGATAAAGATCTTTGAAGGACGGAGGATTCATGGAATCAAACTGAGGATGTCCGATAGGCCGATAGGCACCCAGCCTGTTCCGATAGGCATCCGTACCAAAAATTTTGCTGACATTGATATACGGGATGGCGGCAGAATGGCAAACCATATACCTTCATACAACCATAATGTTCATGCATATTCATGCATATTAATCCTCACCCTACCTTTCCACACTTCCTAATTATAGTATCTACATCGTCATAACTAAAGAAAAACAACAAGTTAAAACCCCTTCCAATCCCAACCTCCCCAACCTCCCCACCCCATCCCCATCTTCATCCCAGCAGCTGAGCTTATGCAGTTCCTCGCTGTCTGTCTTCCGCGCCTCCAGGAATTGCTGGCAGATGGGGCCCAGACCAGTCGAGGTCATGGCCTCTTTCAGGCGACTCAAACCTGGTCCGCTGGGTGGCTGGGAGGATTGTGCCAGGGGTTGTAAATATGGGTGTGTCTGAAAATGTTGTGTACCCCTTTTTACCCAATGGTTTTGCTGATCATTATCCCTATTAAATGGCTATAATTGGGAATATACCCTATTTTCAGACAAACCCATATGTTGTAAATATTGTAACTGGTGAGTGTTTGTGGGGTCATATCCATCATATCCCAAGTATCAATGGGATAACTGACGTAGGAAGACTATATCAATCTACTAACCCTACGAAGCAGTTGGTGGGATGATCCAGGGCTGGATTCTTAAAACTTGGTTGTGGGATGTTGTGGGGTCATTTGGAACTACGAACGCATGGGATCAGGTGGAACTGGCATCCATCGATTCCCCCAGCCATGCTGAGCCCTGGACACTGCTCCGCTTCTTGCTGAAAGGACTGGCGAAATCTCTCCAGCTCGGCAGAGCAGAGGTAGCTCACCTGTTGAGCCAGCTGCCATTGCTATCCATTACTGGTTCTTGGAAGTGTCTTGAAGAAGTTCCGCACAGAGTTTGATCTTTTACCAATCACAGCTGATTTTCAGAGTGACGCTAGAGTTCTACCTCTCAGACTTGGATTTTTTTTGCACTCTCAAAACCGAACAGAGCTTGTTCCATTTCAATCTCTGGTATTTCTTTCTGATGAAAAAAACTATCCCTCCAAGGGCGGAATCCCACCTGGCGATTGGTCTCACAGCCTCAAATGCTTCAGATCTGGGAAGTTGCGCACTTTCTGCATCAAATCCCGCCGGATTTCATCTGGCGGTTGACCTACCCCTCTGAAAATATGAAAGTCAATGGGAAGGATTATCCCATATATTATGGAAAATAATAAAAAAGTTCCAAACCACCAACCAGTCATTGGTTGAATCATGTTGAATCCACTTCAATCATCTTCAATCCCCCCTGCAGATGAAAAGCCCCCCTTTGATCCGCCAGGAAACGCGTGGAGGACACCTGCGTCGCCGCACTCTGCGGGCGCCAATCTGACCTTGGCTGCGGCGTTTGTCAAACATGGCCATGGAGAATCCCATGTATGGCCGGTGCCAGAAATGGTGTTTTTTTGGGCAATTCATCTGTAAATGGATGTGTATATTGTACATGTATATAGAATAGAAACAACATTGTAAAATGGTTGTTTTAATATGTTTTAATGGGAAACTATGGGAAACTTTTGAAACTCATCTATAAATTACCGGAAGGTAGCTGGTCAATGTTCATGCCCAAATATAGGGCTTGACATGGCGAATGCCGAATGACGATAAGCCTCGCCCCTGACTTCTATGTAGCATGACTTGGAGGTGCAAATGATAGCAGTGGAATCAGACAGTCTTGAACGCAAGTCATCGAAACATAGACCAGAATCAACTAAGCATGGGTTTGTCTGAAAATTGGGTACCAATGGTTCATCATCATCTGCCTTGTAGCCTTATGGGTCTAGCCATGAATCACCCAATCAAGGACAACCCATGAGCCCAGCAGCTTATCATCACGCCCTTCTGGAGACAAACGGGAGGCCAGGCCTACCAGGAAGATTGACCAAATTTGTCCACTGTCATGTCTGATTATTGAATATCTGACCACGAAAGGTACGTCACCATCATGTCATTTCTGTTTCTTTAACTTCAACTTCTTCAAAGAATCTCCTGTAAAGCTAAAGATATAGAAAATATATGCTTGACTTATATATATAAACTCCATGGAAGGTGCTTGATACTAATCCCAGACAATCACAAGTCACAAACACGGCCAATCACACTTTTTGCTCTTGCCTTGTGCGATAAATCGATGGCTCTGGGGCCGGCTTGGCAGCCGACCATAGGGCGGTGGAGTGTCCATGGCTTTCGGTCACGGTGTATCTTTGCTGGCTTAGGTGGCTTGATGCCATGGGAGAAAATGCTGCTGTTGTCCACTGCAAATCCAAACCTTTATCCAAATATATGGGAGAGCCGAAACTGGAATGGATCAGCAAGTGAGCACACCGTTGCTTTCCTCGTGCTTAAGATATGTGGTGCCTACCTCCCAAACACAAAAATATTCTTCGGAAGAAAATGCCTCCGTATGTGGCGCGTGATCCTTGACTTGAGATGCCTGCAGTCCAATACAAATAATGTGTTCGTTCGAATCATAGCTAGCATAAAAACATACTCTGAAACCATCAAGACACTAGTATGGGTTGGACAATGGTTGGACTAAAGTCTCAAAATCCTTCACTGATCCCCCAATGAATATCCCAAAATAATTTTAACAGACTATATATCTCCTGGTATTGTACAGTTTACTTACCCACCATCTGGGGATATTTTGCACCATTTTGGATGGTCAAAGTTTGACCCTGGACATGCATTGAATACCAGCTGCTTGGCGCTTGACAGCTGGACATCACGAGATACAAAATCTGAGTATGTCTTGGGGAATGCGCCAAACACCCTTGGAAAGGGATCAACAAGGGAGTTCCAGTTATGAAAATCTGTACACTGCAATTTTTCCGCCAAAGTTGCCATCAAATATGAACAACTTATAGACTTTATGTAAATAATCAGTTGCTACCAAGTATTGACGTGAAGACCCTACGACCAATTTGCCGGGTTCGAAGTCTTAGGCCACCCCAATGTGGTCAGTTGGGATCATCCCGAATCCAATCGCTTAGGGATGTTTCGGGCACCAAACAGTTTGTGGTTAGCGAACCTTAGCGATATGCACGTTTTTTCCCTTATAGATCTTATAGTAGAACCAGAATTTCCATGGGCAAAACTACCATTTTGATCAATTTTGTTGGCAACATCATGTAACAACCATAATTTCCGATGGTGAAAACATGTGAAAACCACTTTAAGCTTATTCAAAAGACCTACAATTTTCGTCCATTTTCTTCAGTTTTTCCACATTTTTTTGTTCAAAGCAATCAGTTTGTCTCTGGCCCCTGCCTCTGTGGCTTGAAGCCACCAGATCGAGGCATCCCTTGCGCATGAGCACGTTACACACCTGAAGCGTGAGGGTATACCATGGTTGGTATACCACCAATGTTCTGCGATTTTTTTTCGAGGAAACCATGGTGAAATGATGGTGAAATGAGGTCTTAAACCATGTTTCATGGAGCAGCATGGTTTCAGACGATCCCACATCAATACTTTGGATAGTTTCTCTGGTTAGTCAATAGATTAATCTATGTCTATGTTATCATTTTATTATGTGTCGATTTGCAGAACACCGTGCTTTCAGCCACCAAATATAGAGGGGATCAATTCTAGGAGTTGGTCTTAGCCCTTTTCAACATATATGAGTCGATTTGAATCATCCCAGGGAGGAAAACAAGCATAATAACATATGGGATGATTTGAATCATCCCAGGTGGCATATTTGACTCATTTGAAACTGTTATCCAATAACCACTTTTTTTGAAACCAATAACCACCTTTTTTACAGTGCCACAGATCGTGGCTGAAATCCGGTGGCTCAATCCTGTGGCCTCACAAAATCTGAGCTGAGACAGAAGCTGTTGCTGTTTTCATCCGCATATCATCATGATTAAGTATGCTTTAAAATGTGCTTTACTCCCAGTACATAAGATATTATCATGAGTGTAATATTAATATTATCATATTATCACAATAATAATCATCATCAGTAGTATTATGTTTAATATGATTTAATTACCCATAATATTACTGACCATAGTATGTATAATAATAATCATCATCAGATGATAATAAACATTATATAACCAATAACAATAATAATAATAGTCATCATCATCATCATCATCACCAGTAGTATTATGTTTAATTACCCACATTTATATAACATATATAACCTTATAACCATACTGACCATAATCATCAATGAGAAGTGAACAAAAAATCCCAGCACCGGTTGGGATCAAAGGATCTGACGCAAACACGTTCCACTGGGTCGTCACAGGGAAGCGAATCCACCTGACTGGGCGCCAAGCACAACGAAACCACGGATCAACGGTTAGAAAAAGCTATGGCTATTATGGCTGGTATACACTTCGGGAGTTTTTAGATCATTATACAGTATCATTGTACATATGTCAACGAATAAATGGTTACCTGATGTTCCCTTAATCAGTATATAGACATCTTACACTTAATTTACAGTAATGTATTTTATCGGTTGGTAATTATTGCACAGTTCTTCGATTGATGACACATCTTGGAGTATCAATGACCATGATGGACAGGATGAATCGTGTCTTGAAGTTCGCCACCATGTTTCTTCGGATATGTGTGATGTATATCTGAATGGTCTGACCCATAGTCATTTGAGCATGGGCCCAACTTCCGTATATACCCCAAAATATTGGACGGCTCAACAGAAAAAGGATGAATTCTTGTCCCTTCCTGGGCCTTGAACTCTGTTGACTCTTCTCTCATACCACATTGCTAATGTTTGACCAAACAACGGGAAACGCGGTTCAAAGGTATGTCCACAATGTGGGGTTTATTCCAAGCCATACCTGGATTGATTCATGCAGGAAACCACGGGCTTTACGGCTGTAGCAAAATACAGGATTAAGCCCTGATGTTTTTTTCCAGTCAACCAATTCTGGGGGGAACACCAAAATCACATTCAGCAATGAAAAAACATTCAGCAACTAGATAACATTCAGCTTTAAACATATTAAGAATTATTAAGATGCATCCATATGATTTCAACATATGTCAACACTCACGTGAAAATCGTGAAAGCTGGGAGCCGCGCATGATGGGTTTTCCCATCACTTAGGCGCGCCCTTGGATCAACGGCTGCCATGCGAGGAGTTTGGCCAACCGGCACAGTGGTTTTGGAACAAGTACAACAAAAAAAAGTAGAAATTCAAAGATGTTCAATATTTAATCTGTGTTTACCGCAAATATCTGCAAATGGTAAATCAACACTAATCTCGCACCGAAGCACAAAGAGGATGTCAACCATTCTTCACCAACAAGTATGGCTTTGTCATGCTTTGTCAATATGGTATCCCAATTTTCAGGGTTGATCACTCGATATTTCCCAGTAAAAATATATAAAAATGAGCATTCTTCAAGTCATCCCTCTGGCATTCCATTCATAGTTGATTCGCAGGGATTCCCCTATTGGATCCCAATCCCAGTGAATCCAGTGGATTAATTCATCCCCAATATAGTGACATAGTGGGTAGAGAATCCAATAGGGCATAATCCATTGTAGTGGGTAATATTATAATATATTACCCTCTGGTAAATTAACATAGACCCTGGCAGATAGGGGTTGGAAGACTAGTTTCCATTAAAAATTTGTGATTTTCAGGGTCTATGTTTATTTACCATAGGGTATAATCCCGGAACTAATCATCAGCCACGGCATCAAGGCCCCAACAACATCGCGGATGCCTGGCGAACGCGGCGTTGCTGGTATCTATCCTCGTTTTCAACCGATCTTAACGGAGGATTCTCCATTTCCGGCTTAGATTGCTAGAGGTCATCGTCTCATCAACTTTCAATGCAAATACTTTCACATGTTTTCGCATCTTGCGGACAAAAGCCTGAGTATAATTGGATCACAAAAAGGTTCCTAATCTAGCAAACAAGTAAAACTCACAAACCTGAAATAAACAACTTTGGGATCATTCACTCCTCCTACTAAACACGAGGAGATACAACGATGATTGGGACACCTGGAAGCACAGATTCCAGTACAAAAGGGAGAGAAAAAGTACATCAAAAACACTGATTGGGATTTCCGACATGCACCAATATGCACCATGAAACAGTTGCAATGCCTATGACCGCCGTTGAACCACCGTTGGCAAATCAGGATGCGAGCCGTCACCGCGATGTTGAGCGTCATGGTGTCTGCACCTGGCCACTGTTTAGAGCCCGCGAGTTTGGACCCGTGGCTCGTCAACTGGATGTCGCCTTCATTACTTGTTTCCAATCGAAAAATACAGTATGTGATGGTTTCAACGAATATTCATCCCACTGTTTTTTCATCTGTTTGTAGTGTTTTTTCCCAAAAGTCTTTGGATGATTTGAATTGATTTGATAGGTCTATCATGATTTACCATATGGCTATTGGTCAAAACCCTGGCACCTAGTGAACCCCCAAAATAGCTGGTAAATGGATGTTCATCCCATTAGAATTGATAACAAAGGTTTTGACCCACCCCCATATGGTTTCCCTATGTTCCCTCCGTTGCAGCCTCGGGTGAAGAGAGCCCGCGACTCGCCCACATCGCACTTGCAGCGCACCCCTTGTGCTAGGCGAAGCAAACCTGGCTAGAGAAGTTTCGGGACATATGTTAGATGTATATGTATATATATATATATTTATTTATCTATTTATATATATATATTATATTAATTATAGATTAATTATATATTGATATACATATTTGTTGATAAAATATGATAAGATTCAATGATATAACATGCTATAATATGATAACACTCTATCAGTGGCTTTGTTTACAATTAGTATCAATTAGTGTATGTCCGTCAAGTTAATTCATTTGGTGAGAACCTCGAAAATAACATAAAATAACTGATTGATGAATATGTCTGGATGATATTTTTGGGAGCAGTGCCATGAAATCTTAGGGGTTTGGCTGAACCAACTAACATTTAAGATCATCTACCCTCTGGTTATGACTAACATAGCCATGGAAAATCACCATTTTTAATAGGTAAACATAGGTAAACCATCTATAAATGGGCCATTTTCCATGGCTATGTTAAATAACCAGAGGGTAAGTATCTCATTTTTCTACGCCAATCAAAATCATGATAACACACACTGTGACTTCTTGCGGTGTCAATCGCCATGGTCGCCATGTTGCAGGAAATACTTGTCACCATACCATCCCCACAGGGCATCGCATAAAAATCATTTCGACATCCCGTGTTTCCGTGTTTCCGTGTTTCCTCATCGCTGAAGGTACTAGTACTAGGTAATACTAGGTCTAGGTATTTATATCAACAAAGTTTATACATGTTTATACTATGGGTTTGAAAATAGGGTGCGTCCGTGTTGTGTGCCCCTAGTTTTCAGACACATCGAACCATCGAGTACCGTGGCAGCAGTGAACCTTTGGCCAAGCAGCTTCTGGATAGCACCATGGGTTCCAGCGGTGGCAGTGATCGCACCTGGCAGATCTGGCAGGTACAGGATTAGCTATGATCATCCAGTAAGTGCATTAGCTGTGCGTCAAGACCAACTAGAGAATGTTCCCAGTGTATCCTAACCCATAGGATCCATGTATGGTATATATGCTAACATTGGGGGTATATTGATGGTAAATGTTACCATATATGGCATACATGGATCCTATGGGTAATGTGTTATCCCATTTATCTTTGGGCTACAACTTATAACCCCACTAGCTAGTTATGCTAGTTGCCAGGGGCAACTTAGTACTCCCCACCTCCCCCGCGCTCTCCAGCTGCTCTTGCCGCATCTGTTGAATCCTCCACAAAGGCCCAACGTCCCCCAAGCCACAGCATCATTCAATGGCATCCATGGCTATTCAAACCTGGCTATTGAATGCCTATTTAAAGAAAGTATAATATAGTGGAAACAACTCTAGCAATTCAACCATCAACTCACACATCCTTGACTTGTCCCAGCTCCTTGACTCGAAATGCTTTTGAAGATCCGTCACCGTCGCTTTGGACAGCAGCTCCCGCGCATGCCTGGTGAATGGCTCTGGAATCTTCAAGGCTTCCATGCGGCTCATATTTGGACACTCCGATGATGGCTGACGGCTGGCAACATGAAACCCTCATGAAAGCCTCCAACATGATTGCCAAGAGAAAGCCATCCGGACGGTCATCCAGCCGTGACAAGTATGTCCATCACATTGTGACGAAAGGTCTAAGTCTGACGATCTAGGCCCTGACCCTACAGAAACTACCTTCTGGTAGTCCAACCAAGCAATGAACCTTTGCAAATGATCTTGGGATACAAAATGGGTGGCGGTTCAATTGCAAACTTGGACCAGCACATTGGCTCTACACACCCCTTTGCACATCCCAACAAAAATGGCCAGCAATTTACGTGCTACATCATTTCAAAAGTTTCGAATGAAATCTGTACATACTCCAAGAACTGTTGAACCTCAAAGACCCTGAAGGAAATTTCAAATTTCAAAGGATAATAATCCCTCAAGGCATATTAAATCCGTTCTTAAAAATTTTAAGGATATTAATTTATGATTATGTCCACCTCTATAGCTTATTCCTTGATAAATAAATGGTTTGGTGAACATAAATTTATGATAAATATATAATCCTTGAATTTATGGATTTTTGAATCACCTTGACCCTCTCACCAACTGGACCGCCTCTGCACAGACTCACCAAGCTCAGGCTTTGCCAGGTCATCCCTGAGATGGAGATGGTTGGAAATCAGCCCACCCATGGTAATCTTCTTAATATCTTAATATTATTTAATATATTTAAATATGGTTATGATAGTCTTGATAGTGATATGATATTGTTTTAGAAGTGGGTAAACACCACTAATAATTAATTAGTTCTATATGTTCTATGTTGAGTTCTTATGAAACACATGAGACGAAGTGGTTTACCATCTCCGAATCGCGCCTGGTTCGCCGGGTCATGGCGCTGCGAAAGAATGCATCCGCCTCGGCCTCAGAAAATCTTTGAAGGGATACAAAGATTACAAAGGCCCCTTAAAAAATCTCCTTTTTTTTACATCTCTGGGTATCTGAAATCTGGAAACTATGATAAACTATGGTGAGTTTCTGGTGAAGTTCTCTTCACACAAAGCCTGCTATGATATTTTGACGACAGAAAAAAGAACACAAAATGCATCACCCTTAGATCCTAAGGCCGGCTTGACAACGCCCTCAACTTGAGCAAGAATCTGTAGGGAATGACCCAACATGCGACCCCTGGATGATCCTCTCAAAATCAAGATCAAAACGTTGGAATTCATGTCATTCAATCCAAGAGCAAGTAGCAAACCTGCTTCCCATATATTTATGGTCATGCCGAACTGGCGACGACTTTCTGCAGCATCTGAGTGACAGAAAGGTTTTCCTTCTGCAAGAGCAAATCTCCAAGGTATCTGCCTTGGCAGCATTTGTTCAGCTTCTGCACTGTATATGTTGATCCCAAAAAAAATGGTTGCCCCTAAAATCATCGAAAATTCACTGCTAAAAATCATGATTGTCCCGCATTGCATAGGGATAAAATCAAGGGAACCTTCACACTTTGAGACACAGGCTACTTGAAATCATTCCAAGTAAGGGTATATGAAAGAATAAACGACAAATTTAATGGAGGATGTTTTTAGTTGTGGTTCGCACATTGTATAAATATTATCATTTATTATATTTGATATTATATTTGATATTTATAGTTGTTCTTCCTATTAGCGTTGCTGCTTTCGACTTTCATTGCCACTAGTTTCATGACCATCGTGTTTTGACTCAAACACATCATGTCACCAATGAACGTGCTGGACGGGAGCCACTTCCACTGGGGCAGCGTGCAAAGGGAGAAACCCACCGATAGCTCGGCTGACTGCAAAGTCAGCAATATGTACCTGTGAAATCAAGATAATCAAGCAAAGTCAGCTCTTCTGGATTCTTCTGGTAGTTTTTGACCCCCAATCATCGACAGGGCTTGTGAACACTGCTCGTTCTTCAATGGCAGCTTTTTGGGTCAGGACATGCCGACATGCCCATTGTCACCACATGGTTTCCCCAGGAGGCCGCACACATTGGGGATCGACTCTGGGCCCTCAGTGTGGTTTCATGGTTTAACCAGGATCGAAGAAGATTCCCAGCCATGTTCCACTGTGACCTTGGAAACTGCAACCATCCTGAAAGATCCTGAAAGTAAGTCAGTATCAAATTCAGTGTTCAGCATTACGGTAAAGAAGAATCAGCATTATAATCAAGTCCATGGATATATAATCAACAGTAAATGGTTATAGTCATAGTTATGATTAATCCATCTATTAATAATCAATCAATCCATATATCCATGTTTATCCATCTATCAATAAATGGATCATGCACAATGCAACTTCCCGGTCCTGTAGGTCTCATCAACTAAGCCCCCTGGCCGTGCACGGAGTGCACGGGCGGCCTTCCAAACCCGCAGGCCTTGGGTGGGGACCATCCAGGACTCCAGGAACTTCATTTTTTGGGGTGGGCACCCAAAAGTCCAACATGGCAATGGATAATTAGAAGAACTCAAAATATCTCAAAAAAAATCGAGAAAATTTAAGAAAATAACATGTTCGGGAAGAACATTGTCAATAAATCGTCCTTTTTCCAGTGCCAGAGTAGATTCTAATAGATTCTAGAGCGTGTCTAGAAGAAGAATATGGGTCAACGGGCAAATCATCTTGAGCCAGAGCTGTATGATTTGGGATATTCTGGGAAGTTTGGATTGAACATTTGGATGACTCTGGGTGGATGTTTGAATTGGTGTTTCACATGTTTTGGGATGCAAGCACCGGATCTCCTTTTGCATTCATTTATTTCAGAGGATCGCTCAATCAAGTGAAACAATCACGGCGTGTCACGTCAAGGGCTTCATAACTTGGCGGAAGCAGCATATCCTTGCAGTAGGAGCTGGATAAGTGATGAACGATGCACATGTTTGCTGCCAGTAACACCTCAAGTAGCATCTACTCAAGTCTGTGAACGTCAGGTTCAGTGACGATTTTGGGTGTCCGCAAGGCGGTTTTCACCTTGCCATCACCGTGCCGTCTTAAGGGTTTACACGCATTGGCTACATATGACTGTTGCGGCTCGCTTCCATTTCACGCGCAACCGCAGGGGCACACGACGCGCTCGCGGCGGGTCAGGGCGGCGACAGGGAGTGGAGCAGCGCTTGAAGCTTTCAGTGGCACTGTGCTCAGCGGGTTCACCGTGGCCTCAGATCTCAGTTTTGGGAAAACTAATGAGAAATCATGGTTTCTACCCTTCAGGCCCTTCAGGTAGAAGACTATAATGTATATTATACTTTTATGTAATGTAATGTTAAAGCATAAGGCTTAAGGGTTTCTTGTTGTTGGCTGCTCAATGCTGCTCAACAAAAAAAAGTAATGAAAAAACAATTTACATGGGCACCGGCGCCGGATAGAATCATGAACTTGTGAGTCGCTGGCTCACAAAATGATGTGAAACTCAGAAATTGACAGCCGCAAAGTCCATTGATGTCCATTGGCAAATAGGGACTTGATTGGAAAAAAAGGACTGAGGCCTCTGAACATCTGTAATTTTAAGTAATTTTCTACTGAGATGGATTGGGTCTTGCCGGAAACTACCAAATTCTTTCATTGACCTACCTGGAGAAGCAGAAACCTCAAATGTTCTGCTCATATGGGAAATAGTCGTCATATGGCCAAGGCCAATGGGAAACAAACACGAGATAATGAGGGGCTTCCAAGTGTTTGAAACCCTGTTGGGTGTCAATTTCTTGCAATCCACATGTAAACTGGGAAAGAAATGGAAAGAATACATACCAAACTCCAAATCTTGCAGTTACTACACACACTACGCCCATCCTGAAATCATATCCCTTCCATTTCAATTCCTTCGGCAGCCACAAATTTCCGCGTTATTCAGACTCAAGGCACCTGCAAAGGGCGAGAATATGCTGCTGGAACCTGAAGGCTCAAGCGTCTGGGTGACCGGCAGTTACTGCAGAACATGGCAAAAAAATCAGCATGATGTGGAGAGGAACGACGAATGGAAATCGATTGGAAAACTATATATGAACCTCAAAACCACACAGTTGCATCTCCGTTTTGACACTGAATGCGCAACTGTCTTGGGTACTTGAGACAAACATGGGGGAATACGGGATACCGCGAAATTGCCATGTTCAAGAATATGATGATAAACCAAGGATAATGTAGGCTTCGGTGATTTTCCCTGACATGTTCAGACACGCCACTTTGAATAAAGCCTCACCGGGATTCGAAATCTGCTGAAAAGCTGGACGTGGACGTGGCAGGCGTCGGCCCCGGAAACCATCCAGTTTGGGATCGGGCCCGGTGAACGGTGACACCCATTGTCGGTAACATTCCTCGGTTGGGGTGTCATCAATAAGGGCAGTTTTCCCACAATTTGGATCGTGATGATCGTGGTATGTTAAACTTAAACTGTGAGGTTAGAGCGGTCTTTACTAAATGGCAGGGTCTGAATTGATACAATGAGGTTTGCACTTGGTATGGGGTTGTTGATCTCACGGGATCTGTGATGGAAACCGTATACTGCATCAGCATCCCGCGGGGTAATACGATGCAAATGATATGGAGGGGTTGCATGATGGACATTTAATGGATATCTGATGGATATCTGATGGATAGTATGGGTCGCAGTTGCTGATGGCATGAGCCACAGACACGTACATCTCATCATTCTACAACATTTGCATCCCACCCACCCTTCAACCAACTTGGAATCGGTCCATATTATACCACCAAACAACGTGATTTAAAACAACAAAAACAGATGGACTGGCTGATTAATCCAAAAAATCTCGAAACATGACCGTGGAATTTAATTGTGGATCTGTTGGCAACCCAGGTTTGACCCATACCCTCATAATGCGAAGCTTCCAAGCTGGGCCACAGGCTAAAGTTTCCAACGCCGCTCCAGATCCGCATCGCTTTGGCAATGGACACGGCATAGGCATTGGCTTCAAGCTCCATTCGCTTGCGCATCTCGGCTGGTTTTCGGCTTCAAGTTGCGTGTTTTACAAACTGACACAACCACTATCAAGAAATGCCACCACAACTTCAGGCTAGAACCTTGTAGCACCACATGAGATTGCGGACAAACATGTTGGTTGAGCCAGGCACCCAAAACATGAAAGTCTTTTTAGGGATCATCCAAAAACAACTTGCAACACTTAAACATACTTAAACAGAATTTGATGCCGAAAAAAATACACCCCTAACAGTCCCTAACGGGTAACATGGGTTTGCCGCTGCCTGGGTCAAAAAGTACCAAGGCACGTACAAAGGGTCCCACTCCGGCATTGGGATTGGTGCTTCCCACACCTCTGCCACCAGGCACCGAGTTTGCAAAGCTACTGACATGGCGTTCCATCTTGACAAATCAGAGGCTTTCAATGGCTTTCATCTGAAAACTCGGAGGCATTTTCTGCGATGTATCAAGAAAACTGTCTACATTCGTGTTGAAACATATTGGATGTGTTGCAACTGCATCACCACACTTTTTGGCCGAGAAACTCTGCCACTCACCAGGGAAAATACAACGTCTCCCCCCAACTCGCTGATAACGGCTTCACTCAGGTAGTCCTAGGCAGGGCACAGGTCGCGTAGGGTCAACAATCCAGGAAACTGGAACAGAAACATGTTTTACAGCTCATTGATGCAATCTTGTTCCGTTCTGTGGGGGATTTGTTGAAGCAAGAACATGTTTTACACGGAGCAAACTCATGAATCACCTGAAGTGACAAGTTGAGGAAAAAAACATGTCAGTCTGGCCATTCCGGTAATTGAAATCACGTTTCACATCCATCTGTAGACCAACCTGGGCTAACCAACAGAGTCAGCCGTGTCCTGGTAGTCCACCAGCACCAGAAGGCGCACGCGGGACCGCGGGAAGCGCGCCTTCAGCGCGTGGAAGAGGTTCGGGATCGCCCGCAACTCATCGGTGCAGTTCACCTCGGCGGTTCAGAGTTCAAAGTGGACCACGGAACTTGGATCAAATGGCATTACCAGATCTAATTGCACTGATGATGGGATGGATGTGCCACAAGATCTTGCCATAGTGCAACCAAGCAACAGAGCGAATAAAGACAATGTGTTCCTTGCGGTGGCCACAATGAAAGGCAACATGTATTTCGCCAAAGCATCTCTTTCGACATGTGTGATTATTATGTCCACAACCGTTTCTTTTCCAAGGCATCATCAACAAGAGAACTGGACCAAAGCATACCTAAAGACATCTGAGAAATTCTGAGAACAAGAAACTGGGGCATGGGATATGACATGACCCAACTGGTTGGTCACGGGGCCGAACAAGAAACTGGGGTAGGTACATGACCCAACTGGTTGGTCACCGGGATGGTTTTTGGCTTCGGGTCGGGTTTAACCGCATTATTGTACAGTGAAAACTGTAAAACCTCTGCAACTGGGGGATTCCACACATTGCCTTCCGCTGCTGCCAAGCTGCATCCGACATGGTGAGGAAGCGCTCCTTCCTTCTCTCCATTGTCTGCTGCACCTGCCACCCGCAGTGGAACTGAGCACAACAGCTCCACAACATAGAACTGATTCAACCAATGGATTTCAGTCAAAGGAGAACCTACTGGATGCCGTTCTTTTGTTCCCCCAAATATATCCGTACTTGAATATATGGAGGTTCCTGTAATTGTTCCCTTCAACGAATTCTGGAATTCAAAATCTGCACATGCCATTGCCTGCTACAATCGTCCCTCCACGAAGGATATCCAAGGATCTAAATAATGAGTGCCGCATTTTGTACCCCACAGATCTATCCCGTCGTGGGCTTCGACAATGCAGTCCATCCCAGGGTCCAATGTTTGGATGGTCCGATGGTAGCGTGGGGTTGGCAACTGCAGCTTTCTCTCAGGTCAACTATGAAGGTGTTTGGAAGGTCCCCAGCAATGCAAGTGACCATCCATCATCATCCATCAATCCTGCTCGTTCACACATGAAAACCGCAAAAAATTGACCCAACGACTCTTTATCGGGAGTTGGATGGGCCCCAGTAACATCCAACAACGAAGCATTTAGATCCATCAAAATCCATCAAATCAAGTAGCCCAATAAGAAATTGAAGGGGTTGTGACGGTTATGATACGGGTTGTGAGCCCCAGTCACCTATCATATCCTCACATCATGGATCCGGCCTCCTTGTCCCTGATGTCATGGTGCCAATAACTGCCGCCCCAGGCCATAGGCAACACCCGGCTGCCGCAGGCTTGGGTGATTGGGGCTTCCATGGTCATGAAGTCCTGCAACGGATCACATGCGGATCGGATGGCTGATGGCTATCTTGGCTGGAAGTATCTGCAAGACTGTGGTCTTGGGAGACAACCCCTCCGTCCTGAAAGTTGGTCGCCAACAATTGGGTGACCTCACTCCAACAACATATTCGGAAGACGTCGGAAGATATGAAAGTAATTACTCAGTGTAAGTCAAGCGGGTTTGTCCTGAATGGGGCGGTCTACCCCCAAATTGATCCAGACTGAAACTTTGACAGAAAAAATGATGATAAACCACTGGATTTTGATTTGACCCTATATTTATGAACCCACTAGATTCGTGTACTGTCTACCTACACTTCTACCGCCCTATCCATTTTCATCATTTTGACCTTGTACATCACTTTTCAATTACCTTGGTGTATAAACCATCAAACAAATGGCTTGATTTTTTTGGCATCCGCAAAAATTGAACCATAATCCCGTGAATCATCATTATCCCATGTGTATCCATTTCTCCATTTCCTGACAACCCATATTTTGACCATGCAATCACATCATGTAATTTTGTATAATTGTGTATTCTCTGGACCACTTTGGAGGGTTGATGATTTTGTTCTGGAGGCTTCCTAAGTCATGAGGGTTCCCCAAATTCATCCAACGGTTATTATTTCTTATCAATGGGAACACCAATGGTTTGGGATATCCATACCTTAGGAATCTTGAGGACAGTTCTATATTTTTCATGCCCTAGGTAAAATCGCTGGGATTTATGGGTGTTTACACAGGGATTTTCAATAACTCTATATAGGGTCTAAACATATTGGAACCATTTGGAACCTATGTATTTCAACCATATTTTGAACAGATATGAACATATGGGTGTGTCTGAAAATAGTGTACCCCTACACCCAATGGTTAATGATCATTATCCCTACTAAATGGCTATAATTGGGGGTATACCCCATTTTCAGACATACCCATATGAATATATACTTACCAGATAAATGTCAGTTTTTGACCCATCCCAATATATGCCTCAATTATGTGCCTTAAGGTGTGCCAAGGCACGCCCTCGCAGCGGCTGCGCATCCAATCGAAAGGCCCTGCCGCGCCTCGGAGGTTCAAGCTCTGCAAGGCCTGCGCGACCCCACCTCGGTGTTGACCCAAAAAAACGGGCCACACGGGTCTGAAAACGGCTGAGACTTGCCATTCTGATGTGACGAAGATGTGGGAAATTGATGGAAATTCTGGGAACATGATTTTGAAAAATGGTCGAAACTTGGATGATCCAATTGGTGTTGGAAACGTTTAGAACATTTTAGAACCTACGCATGTTTGTTATCGTCTTGACCCATTGCAGAGCAGTTGTATGGGGCAAAAAGGCAGTTGCAAGCCATATTCCGACTTCAGGAATAACCATATTACAAGTCTACCGCGTGTCTTGAAGATGCAAGGGGCAAAAATTGACCAGAAACTGTACAGGTCCGTTGGATTCATTCTCCCAAACAACATCACAAATAACATCTAATATCAAATACAGTAATAGACATATTTAAAACATCCGCAGGCGGTGATGATTTGAAGATCACCGCCTCAACGATCCACAACTGTCCACTGTCGAGGCGCAAAAGCTTCCCAAGCTGACGAATTTGGTCTTGCTTAGGATCTGCTTCATCTTGGGATCTTCGAGCCCCAAGCAGCTCCTGTTTCATGGCCTTTCCAGCCCTGGAAAGGCCATTTTTTGTGGGATATCAATGATATCAATGATATCAATGGATATCAATCGTCTCAAGGGCCCCAACATATCAAGCATGCCCAAACCAATCCCAAACAATGAAACTCATCCGACAAGTTTCCAGACACATCCAGAAGTTACACAGTCCTCCGCTGAAGCTGGAGGGTGGGATGAAATAACGGATCTCCCCGCACGGTTTCTTCAATGTCGGCCATCATGGCCTGCAGTTCCACAAACAAAGCTGTAAATCGAATCAAAACCACCAAAACCCCGAAGATTGGAACATGTTGGAACCATACCATCCATTGCATGGTAAGGTATATGCCGATATGTAAACCCAAAAAATGCCTGAGTGTGGCGATGTGGGTAGTCAAAGCTTTCGAGTTCCAAACTGGAATGTGCAGTTTTGAGTCGCTGGCTGACGAATGTTCAAGCGGCCGGAAAGCAAGCTGAATGTAAGCACAAACAGCTGCGCAAAGCAGTTTTAATCATGAGAAATCAATGGGGGTTGAAATTCCAGGGGGTGGGTTGGCCACCCCTTTTTGTAGCTACAAAGCCTTGAGCCAACCCCACCTACTACCAAAATGGGATCTTGAGTTCAAAAAAGACCAAAAAAAAACCTACCAAAAGGAAGCGCCCAGCCCTTCCCCCCTACTAAAAGACAATGTGATTTTAGATGTCTATATAGATGTCTAAATGGATCTAAATGGCCCATTTTGTTGAAGATTCTTAGAACGGGATTCCTTTTTGTAGGGAGCCCATTTTTCATTGATTTTGGGTCTAAACATGCCCAAAAAAAAACAAAAGGTAGTGAACCCCACCGGTGACCCCTGGGGATTGCTAGGACGCATCAGATCTGTGGATTTTTTCTTCGCGTGATTCGCGTGAGTCACAAGATGTCTTTTTCAGATCCTGCGTTTGCGCTGGGAATGTCCCATTTCAATCGAACAAACCGACGTGTTAGTTCTTCTTTTATATGTCACACATAATTCTTCTAAAGTTGTCTTCAGCCTTGCTGGGTTTAAGTTTGGATTACACTAGGCGATCGGGTTCGAATGGGCAGGCCTTTTTGATCTTTTTGTTGGTGCATGTCACTGGCAAGCCCTCTAAACAGATTTGGGGCCTACCGTTGACATTCGGTAAACCAATGCCGAACCTGTACCAATAGAATCGGAACATCTGTTCATGACTTTCCCTATTCGAGTTCTTATCCAAAATGGCTTCTTTGGGCAGTTCTTGTTTTTTTTTGGGGAACCCAAAAGGCATGGACTGTGAAATTCTCCGGATAAACCAGGATTTGAAAGGATGCAACGGTTTTCATGGGCAAGCCTTTTTTTATCTTTTTGTAGGATTGATGAAGGGGGTACCCTTTTTGTAGAGAGCCAGCCCGGATTTGGGGTAACCATCCACTTCTGCAAGCCTGTGCCAAATCTTTCCGAATAGAACCGGAATATCCGTTGTTTATTTCCTTTATTCAATATCCAAGGTGGCTTCTTTGAACATATTTTAATACTTTTGGAATGCAACTGTTAGCTCCTTGGCTCCCAATTCAAAAGGGAAAATGCATATCTGGTAAACTAATCTAATATAGCCATGGAAAATCTCCATTTTGAAGTTCCGTAAATCATCGAACGAAATGGGCCATCTATATATATATATATATTACATACACCGTTGCTATGTTACTCCACACCCCCCCAGTCGCCACATCGGTGATATCGCCAAAGGGCAGGTACAGCACATCGCCCGCGCCCAGGGTTGCCTCCTGAAAATGAGTCCAGGGCTGAATTCCCCCCTGCCCGTTGCGATGAGCATCCAGCAATGGGGTTTTATCCCCACTAGTAATGCTTCATATACGTTTCATAGAATCATAGATCCATTTTCAGTGGTTGATAATGGTTAATGGAGGTTAATAGTGGGCAATCCCGTCCCCCAATCGTGTGAATTATGCCTCTAATTTAGGGCCTGCAAGATGAATATGGGGTGTATTTAATCTTAGGGCCTTAGGGGTATGGGATTGATACATATCTGAAAGCGTCGGCTGCATCCCTCCAAGTTTCTTGCTTATGTCTCCAGTCCCGTAGGGGGATATTCCTCAAAAATGCACATGTTGCATAGACATCTCTTGAACCCTGATTCTCCACATATGGAGTAATTACACATATAATAATACATACATGTTCAAGCCATTTTAAGGAAAACATGTTGATCAAACATAACATACCTATGTAATAGGTACATTGTATGAGTTGCAGGGCAGCTAGCCATGGACCAATACCCAAGTATCTTCGTGAACTTGACAAACATAGCTTTAAATTTGGGCGCTTGTAGACTTAGAGTTTGCTGCAGATCACTCCCATTTTTCATACAGCATTGTCTTGCAAATTGAAATCCCCCCATTTCCTCTGCTTTGAAATGTATTGAAATGTTATGGTCCTGTTCAAATGGCAAAAAAATATATAATGTAAAATAATGATGCGAAATATTCTATGGGAAATTCAGCCATGTTTGGAGAAATCATGACAAATCCAGCTCATATCATATTGTTGCTTATTATCTTATTCATATCCTATTGATTACCAGATATGGAAATTACCAATTCTATCAGAAATTCTATCCCCATTTTTGTGAGCTGAGCCACTCTGGGCCCCCCGAACCAGCAGAGCTTTGGGTCTCGGGGCTGAGACCGGTAAGCCCTGCAGGGGTCGCATCAGCGTCAACCTGACGTGGCTAGCGTTGTGGCTGGGTGAAACCCAAAAGAAACAGAGTCAAATGGATATGGTACCCTAAAATAGCTAGTTAATGATGTTTATTCCCCAAAAGATGGTAAGCATAGGTTTTGACCCATCCCCAAATTGGTGCAAGCCTTCCACAAGTTGAGGGATAATCAAGTATCAAGAAATATATAGAAATATAAAACCGATGATAAAGGATTACAGAACTAGCAAACATGCGGAACATGATCAACTATGGTTGAGAATAGTTGCAACGATCACGTTGGCTATAAGCATCAAAATTGGGGAAAACAACCTGCAAACATCTTGGAAAGTTCTCAAGTGGTGATGGAATACAAATTGCTGGGAACCACCACGCAGCAGAATTTGTCGCACTGATGACAAAGGATCAACGGGTGAAAAATAGACAAGTTACATCAAGTTGCTCTACAGGAAAGTTCTAGATTTCATGGAAGAAAAACGTGGGTTTCTTGTGAACTAGGGGCTTCCCATGCTGATCAAATCCCGAAGGCATCAGGTTTTTTCTAAACCCCAAGGCATCGTAATCATCAACCAAGCATAGTTCATCAATTATATCATTATCCTGTTCCAAGCCGCCATATTCTTGATGTTCATATCCCCATCGACCTCTAATCTCAACCTAGGTTCAACAAATATCATGGTAATTGCTGATGTACGTATGCGTCCCAGTATTTCACAGTGCACCAAGGATCCCTGGGCGGCCTGCGATTCCCCAAGAGTTGCAACATCAGCACGTCGGACTCGGAGGCAAGCAACCTGGAGATCAACGGAAGGGCTTAGGGGGTGGAACCTATGGCAGATTCTGGTACAAATAGGTATAGGTGAGTATAGATATTTTTCATATGTCTATATTACAATACAACCATCATCATACTATATATGATCATACTATAATCATACTATAATCTATAATATATATATATATATGATTATATATATTATATGTGTATATTCTGATGTAGATAACATCTTCCAATCAAACACAAATACAGCATGTATCTTTCAATCTCTGCATTCCATCGACTTCTGAAGCTCCACCCTGCGATCGACGTGCTATGCCATTTCACAGGTTCACTTTCTCACATGGATTAAGGTCAGGCATGGTCAAGCTAGCTTCCAACATTAAATGGCCCAGCTGACATATCCTGGCATAAGGAAACAAAACTATAAATGATCATAATATATCCCAATTGAACATATCCTTATCATTAACAATCCTGGAAAAATATTCCAATTCAATCATATGGCAGTGTCAAAACCAATAGTACCCCTGTAGTTCACATCAAAATAGCTGGGATTTATGGATGTTCATCCCACTAAAAATGGTACTCATAGGTATTGATCCATACCCATATATCCAATCAGAAATCTAAAAATCGCATTCAATCCCCAGCTGCTCCACCGTCAATGCGCGCAGGCGCGCCTTCCATCCTCAGGATCTACCAGGAGACGAGCAGATACCTCAGCTGAACCCGTGTGCTGATCTTGCCAAAACACAACAGGAATACAGGAATAACAAGGAATAACTATACAGCTCAGGCTGTATTCCTGAAATATTCTGAAATCAGCCCAAAAATTTCCCAGTGTGTATCGGCTCAATCATCTGAACATGAACCATTTTCATCCATTTTCCATAGCGCGAATATGTTCAATTACCAGAAGGTAATCTTGAAAATAAAGTACCGGTAAATTAAATTTTGGACAGACCACGACAAACCATACAGGAACTTCTGACCGTTGGGATGCCGTGCGAAGCCAAAGGCAGTTTCCAAGGCCTTTGAAAAGGTCGGGTATGGGGCAAAGTTTCTCGCTGGCAAACAGTCGAAAAATGGCCATTTATAGTTGATTTTCCCATTAAAAATGGTGATTTTCCATAGTTATGTTAAATTACCAGAGGGTACATGTTTGATTTTGTTTGGATGTCCATGGACTCAATCATTTAAGAGGTTTAGTTTCTACTGACCCAAAGAATTTGCCGGAAACCCGCGATATTTCATGGTAAACATTGTGATTTCCGGTCGATGTTCCCAACCAATTCATTGAATCCACTGCAGCTTGCCACCCCGCCTTGCAAACAGCAAGCAACCAAGGCAGGTAATGCTCTGCACCAGTGAGACTGGCAAGTTGAAGTGGGAAAAACTGCGCAACACTGAAGACATCTACCGAAACCCTCATTTCATCTCATTCCACCATCTCATCAAGTGGGATTTTCAATATGTCACCCCAGTCCAGCCGCCTCAAAGTGGCTTGGTCCAGGTATGCCATGAAGACATTCTCCCGCAGATGAGGTTCTCCTGCGGTTCCACAAGATTCCACATGATTCAACTGGATCCTGTCGACCAATTTTGGAGGATTTTTGTTGGTCCCCAATAGTTACCGCATCGACTTCTCTGGTCTCCTCTTCGATGCGCACCGGTCCTTAGATGCAGCATCGTGGGAGCTAGTGCCCTGAAGAAAAACAA